AATTTTGAATAACAAACTTGTTTTCATAGTTATTTTTCAAATGGTAAATAATACAAATACTGCATTGTAGATGGTTTACATATTTTTTAAAATTTTGTAACTTAAAAAGTACTTTTGAATACTTTTCACATTTCTTTATAAAAGGTAAATAATAAATATTGTATTGTACTTGGTTCATGTATTAAATAAACCTTGTTGAGAGGGTGAAGGTAGTACAAAACAATAATAATAAATAATAGTGGTATCAATGTAAAACCATTCTTTGACACACCATTTTTATGTTTCTCTCTGAATTCTCTTTGGTAACAAGAATGAATTGATTGGCTGCATGAAAGTAATGTCCTCAATAAGGAATTTATAAAACCATTGGAAAGTGAATTTCAAAAAGTAGGATATTTCCTCTTGAAAATCTCATACCGGGTTGTCTTTATCTTAAGGGAACCATTTTTTAATAAATTGTTAAAACCTTGAAGTGACTTCTGTTCAGAAATGACACTCATCCATTTTAATAACTAAAAAATTGGAAGAATTCTGGCCAAACTTGGACCTTTGTGCCTCTGCCAAAAACCAGTGTGTCATAAAGATCCCCCCCCATTTGACACTTTTGTTATTTACTTACCTTCACTCCTTGGTAATATTTACTGTTTTTAAAAATGATAATTAGAATTGTATTAATGATGAAAGTGAATTTATACATTTTTTTGCTCTCGAGAATTTACAATAAAAATATTAAACACTATTTGATTGTTTATTTACAAGGATAATTTTCATATTTACAACATTCTAAAAACCAATACAATTACTGCAATGCAATATTTATCATTTACTAAACTATTAAAATATGTGAACCAACTACAAGGAAATTCTTATTTACCATTTTATAAAGTTCGAATCGATTGGCAGTTAGTCAATGTTTTGTCAACTGTTCCAATAAATAATCTAATAAATAGTGTTTATTATTTTTGTTGTCACTTCGAACAAAGAAAATGTATAAATTTACTTTCATATGTTTAGGTTATGTTACAATTCTAATCATTACTTTTTAAAACCAACATTTCTGATGAGTGAAGTTATTTATAATAATAGCAGCATCACTGGAAAAACCATATTTTTGACACTGTTATTTTTATTTTTTATTTTTTTAAATTTTTTTCAGGCATGAAGGTCAAAGATTTCTGAATTCTGATTTGACTTTGAATGACTGGCATTTTACCTTCAGTTTTTATGTTTCCATTTTCTTATAAACAAAAATGACTTACTGACAAGTATGATTAACTTGATCTTTTCGCAGTTAAGTAGCTTTTAAGGTCATTAAGTTTTGTTAGCTTATTTTATGTAAACCAAATTTAGCACAAGTTGAGCATTGTATATAAACCAAAATCCCAATTTGTCATAAAGAACTAATGAAATACATGTTGCATCAATTTATTTTGTAACTTGCCATTGCCAGTAACCAAAGTGTAGTATCTGTCTTTGTTTCTTTTGAGAAATAAAAGCAGATTTGATGTGAATTCTATTACATGTTAAACAGTTTTCAAAAGCAATTATATTTGTATAGAGTTGTGTGTGTAATACACACACACACACACACACTTACAAATTTCTGATTTTTTTTTTCTCTCTTTTAAGACTTTGGCACTATCAACAAAGAATGTAATTAATGCATACTGGATCTTCCTTTTCCAGGGACATGGGATTGGACTTATTTAGAACACATATCATTAGCCATCAGATTGTCCAGGCAAAAACGGTGAATGGCTTATTACAGTTGATTGAACGTGAACGTGGAGGTGAAGCTGTTGACAGGCAACTGTTAAAAAGTCTCTTGAGGATGTTGTCAGATTTACAGGTTAGTTTTAATTTGCATCTAAATCACCATGAAATTTTTTTTGAAAACACTGCTATAATAATTTTATTACTCTTGCTAATGTAATAGATACTTAAAGAAAGTAGTGGATTTTTATTAATCTGACATTTTTTTTTTATCACTTTAAATGTTATTTTTAATGGATGGATGCTCGTATTTTAGTAGGCATTCTGTTTATTTATTAAACAGTATATTTATTTAATCTTCCAGCCTGAATATTCGATAAATCTTATTAAAGAAAATGTTCTCGCAGATATTCAAGCCAGTAGACAAAAATAAACTGAGTCTACTCAAATACAAGTATCCACTAAAAAATAATGTTTAAAGTGAGATAATTTTTTTTTTTTTTTTTTTTTTTACTTTTTCAAGGAAGTTGCCTTCAGGGACTTGAAAATGGTTCCAAGGAACTCTCGAATTAAACAAAACCAGTTACATAAACATACCCATACCACAATCCTTGAAAATGAATCTAGCAAGATTCGGAAGTATTCAGTGGCAGAGGGGACACAAAATAAAAATGAACTTTAGTAAATTTACTGATTTATATAAAACTAATTCTGAAATTTGAAAAATATACTAAAAACATCTGATAGGCAGCTTGTCAATATTATTCAACCAAACATATTTGAAATTCTTGCTGCTTTATATATATATATATATATATATATATATATATATATATATATATATATATAAATATATGAAAACTTTTTTAATTTTTATAAAAATATCAATGAGCTATTGTCAATTCTCATGAATAAAAAAATCTATAAATCCACTTTAATATGTTTGGGTTTTATTAAAATTCTAATCATTGCTTTTTAAAACAAACATTGACAGTTATTAAACATGTGTACAGCAATAGTGGTCTCAAGGAATAACTCCTCTTGACAGTTTTTTTTTTTTTTTTTTTTTTGCAGGCATTGCCAAAAAATCATTGTCATTCAAGTTTGCTCAGCTTTTATTTCTTATGGGAAGTTTGTAAAATGTCTGAATGTAACGTGCATACTTGACAGTTTTTGTGCTTTGTATTTTTTTTTCTGATAAAGCCCCAAAATTATGGCTATACAAGTGACAGTTGTCACATCTCGTAATCTCTCTCTCTCCATTTGACTATAATGACATCCTCATGTAAGAGTTTGACTTGTCAATATTGCAGGTTGCATGACATCATTATGGGTTGGCTTTGGGCCAAAATAGCACAAAGTTTCATTATTTTCCAGGGTTGGGTTAAAATAAGTAATCCTTGTGTCACCAATGATATTTTTTTGAGCCTGGTAAAAGACCTTCTTTTATCATCCCATCTCCTTGGAGTGCCATTTTGCACCAAGTGACACTTCAGTTTCAGATAAATTTGGCTAAATAGTTCACTAATCCAAGGAATCTCTTAACCTCTTTAATCAAGGTAGGTTCCTAAGGTGTGTGTGTTTTTTTTTTTTTTTTTAATTGCCATAATCTTATCCTTGACCCTTAGTTGAAATATTATCATAGAGAGGTTGGTTGGAAAAGTGACTTGTCCAACACCAAAGACCCTTTTCTGGTTTCACTGAAGTTTTCCTTATAGCCACTTCTAGTAAGCTTCCTGATTTTGGTTATAGTTATATTTGTCTATACCACCAACGAAAATGTTAGAAAATATTTCCTATTCTCAGTAAATGCTTAAACAGTTGGCCTATACAATATTAGTACTCTGCAAATGCTGAAGTTGCTCCTTGTACTAATTGCTTGTAGTTAAATAAACCAAGTATAGCAAAGAATATTGTGATTAGGCAAGAAACTAATTTAATGATTGATTGATTTTTTTTTTTTTTGGCTTATCAACCTTTTGCAGGTTATTTAAAGCCAGAAACAGTTTTTACATTGTAAGATAATGATTTACTGATACAAGTTCTACTAATTAACCCAAAACTGGAGGAAAGAAGTGACTTCATATCTTTGCCCAAGGGTATTTGTGCATGAGTGAAGATACCAAACCTGCCTGGAATTGGAATGTGGCTCTCCGATATCCAATTCCAAATCGTTATTCATTACACCAGCCACAGATCCAAGCTTACAACAACTGGTATTCCCAAGTGGTCACCTATCTAGGTACTGACCATGCTTGATGTTACTTTGGTGATCATACAGAAATTGGTGTTTCAACTTGATATGGTTGTAAACTCAAATTTAATGAAGAACATTTTTCAAACCAATTTTACGGAACAGCCATTATAATGTTCAGCTCATCAAGAATAGGTATCAAGTAATGATTCCGTTTGATGGCAATTGTAACTTTGTGCATATCAATAAGTTAAATATTCTTATCTTTTAGCTACTGCTATCAGTAGAGTAATACAATCCATTGGTTAAGTCACTGCTTCAAGAATATGAAGATGCCATTTTTCTTTCTTCCATAGAATGGAATACAATAAAGGTGATGATATGTGCATTTCATGGAAGAATCAATTCTGAGTTTTAATTGAAAGTTTAAGTTCCTGAAATATAGTTCTTCCTTCCTTAGGTGTCATGTTGGATGCACACTCAGAAGTAAAATATAATACTAAATTTAAATACACATGAACTGATAACATTTTTCATAGCAGTAGAATGCTGAGAAAATGTAATTGTTCACTTATCTTTTTACTGAAAACATTACCACAATCTGATAACGATAAAATAATAATTCTTGAAATGTTGTGAATTGGATAAATACTGTACGGCTTTCATTTCTTCAGACCAACTGCTGATGTACTAACAATAATTGCAGAAACAGTCTATCATGCTCTAGATTAAAAAAAAACGGTGAAGCCCAGGCTGTAGCATTGGACATCTCGAAAGCCTTTGACAGGGTTTGGCATTCAGGTCTTCTCCACAAGGTGAAAAGCTACAGTATCTCTGGCCATGTTTTTGAGCTGATCTAGTTGTTACTAACAAATCGTGAAATGGAAGTTGTCTCGAACAGCCACTTGTCTATATCCATTCATACTTATGCAGGTACCCCCCAAGGCTCTACCCTTGGTCCTATGCTGTTTTTAATCTTCATTAATGACCTTCCCAATAACATCAGCTTTCAACTTGGCATCTACGCTGATGACACTACTGGTTACTCCTGCCTTGATAGTAAGGCTGATCAGTCAGACAAGGTCAAAATGGCAGGCAATGTACAAAATCACCAAGGCATTATTAACCTGGGGTAAAAGATAGCGTGTCAATTTTAACACCTCAAAAACTAAACTTTTCTTTAAGCATTTGAGAGCTCCCTTTCTACTTTTCATCAGCATAGCTGATGCTATCCTCCAAATGATTCCTAGTGCGTTCTCAGGCTAACATTCTCAGCTGATATGCGGTGGAAAGACTACAATGAATGCATTACTAGATCAGCTGCTAAGAAAGTTGGTTCACTGTGTTGAGCAAGACAATTTTTCCCCCCAGAATCCATCTTGCATCTCTAAGTCTACCATTTGTCCATGCTTAGAATATTGCTGCCATATATGGTCTATTGCCCTGGCAATTTTCCTCAAACCCCTTGATAAGATCCAAAGAAGAATCAGCAATATTATTGGTCCTGATCTGTCAGCTTGGCTTCAGTCAGTTACCCATTGCCAGGAGGTTGCCTTTCTGTTTCTTTTCTATAAATACTTTCATGGTAATTGTTCAGATGAGCTCTTCACTATGGTACCTAGACTGTATGAATTTAAGCGCAGTGCTAGATTGGCGGTGAGATCTCTTCAATTTACAGTTGAGCTGGCTAGATATAGCCGTAACTTCTATGCTAACATTTTCTTATCCTGCACTTCTTGCTTGTGGAACTCCCTTCCGCATCCATGCCTTCCAACCAACTTTAATCTGCAAAAATTTAAATGCAATATCAATCACTATCTATTGTCCTTCTGAGTGCTCTTTTCTTTTTCTACTCATTACTAATGTTTCTGTTCCTAATTCATCTATACCCTGTAACCCCCTTGTGTGCTAGTGGCTGTACTGCCTTGTTTGGGGGTGATACTGATTTAAAAAAAAAACATGCTTGTGTAATGCATGATTTCATGTATCATGTGACCCCCAAATTTTCATTTATAAAAAATGATTTATCATGTAAGTTTTTTTTTTTTTTTTTTTTTTTTTTTTTTTTTTTGAGACCAAATTACAATAGATTAACCTATTTTCCTCTATCCCATCTTCTAGTCAAATAAGTTACAAAAAAGTAAAAGAGAACTATGATAGTATCGTTAGTAATGCTATACTCGTTGCGTAAATGCATGCAGCCATAAACTGAACAAGAAACAGCTGAACATCTTATAAACAATGGACAAAATGCATATTTGCTAAGTTTGTATTTTATAATACGATACAAATATGTTAATATTACATGCATTATTATTGCATACAGTTAAGTAAAACATCAGTTCTATCAAAATCATTTTTACTTTAGATACAGCTGTACTTTTGGACTATAGTAAATAGATATAGTTTGGTCAACGGCATAGACAGGGCTAGCAGTACATATAATTTTATATCTCTTGTATGATGCGACCTCCTTAAAATTAACTTCAAAATTAGGTCTTCAAAAGTTGCATGATATGTGTGTGTGTGTATGTATGTATATATATATATATATATATATAAGTTTGAGTCAAAGGCCCCATTCTATGTGAAAGGGTTGGTGAACTCCATCTCTGTACTTTGATAGAATGTTTAAGCTTAATGTTTATAATCTTTGATAGATTATTGTACATACTGTAGTCAGTTAGATCACTAATACAGGTTGAGGATCCTTTATTTGAAATTCCATAACCCAAAAGTTTTTCAGGTGCTGACATGACTTGCCACAAATTTCAGAAAGCACTGGGAAGGTTCTTAGGTGATGTGCAGCTGCTGTAAGTGACCCTCATCTAACCTGGGTAGTGGTTCTCCAACTCGTCTACGCAGCCTACATTAGCACCATTTATTTTGTTAGCGATCATAAACAGCAACACGTTCGTTCATGGATTACTTACCAGGTGTTTCATGCTCAGTAAAGATATTATTCAAAATGTCAAAAAAGTCCTGCATTTATATATTTTTTTGTAAGTAGTGATCATGTTTTTTTTGTACACTTACAGAAAGTACAAAACATTCCAAAATTCAAAAAAAATCTGAAAACTGAAGCATTTCCAGTGCCAAGAAATTTCAAATAAAGAATTCTTAATCTGTAATATCAAAGTTGATCATGAGAGATATTGATTGACTGACAATACTAAAACTACATCTGCCTTTGGTCTCTTTAGCCTCATAAAAAAAGGTAAAAAAAAAAACTGGTTGTCTTGTTTAATTTGTTCTTGATGCATTGATTTATCCTTTGAGAACTGTTTCAGAAATTATTTGGATGGAGACAGAAGTTACATTGCTTCCTTTCATTGTGGTGCAATTTGATAGAGAGTTGCTACTACATTTGTAAGAAGTTAGCTCTGCTGACTGGGTTGATGTTTCACAAGACAGTTTATTTCAAGCTCAAGTTGATCTGATTTTTTGTGAAGCAAAGTTTTCAACTGATTCAGTTTACTATCTTGATCTTCAATTTTGAATTCCTTTGCCTTTTTTAAGTGACTACTGAAGTTGAAGTACTGGAGATGAGAAATCCTTCAACAAATAGATCAGTAATAAGCTAAGCTCTTTTATGGGAGTAATAATCATTACAGCATTTTCATACCTTTTTTTTTTTTTTTTTCCTCTTTGCTTAAATAATGTCATTTCTAATTCATATTTTTATCAACAGGGAATTGGGTATTAAAGAGAGAAAATGTATTGGCTATTTTCAATTTCCATTGTCTAATATTTTAGAAATTTTAAAATAAATTTTTGCAGGCAAGAAAGGCTCATTTTGCTTTGTTCCTGTATTATTTATTACATTGAATTACATTTTTAGAGTTATATCCTTTCTTCCCATACAGTTTATTGGCTATTCTTGGCTGCCAAATAAATGACCTTGAACCACTCTTGTTAATTTTTGGATTTATTTTTTCACAATGCCTTATCTCTACCTATTAATTTTTAACAAATTCATCATTTTTTGGTAGATTGCTGTAAAATGTTTGGCAAGACTTCATGAAAATAGTACTGTTTGATCATTTTTATTTAAAAACAGTGGTGGACATTTATTTTAGTTTTATTTCTTTGTGTTTTTAATAATTTTCCAATCACCCCTTTTATTAAACCTCCCCTGTCGGATTTTCTCATTCCTTACCAGTTGATAAATTTTTTTTTTTCTCCTCACGGCAAGAGTACAGATAAATTCACAGTAACTGGAGATGATATTGACCTTTCTGTAATCATTATCTCCACATTTTTCTGAAGATTGATCTCGTTGAAACACCTGTTCCCATATGATCACCAAAGTTAACCAATATCAAGATGCTGTCAACTTGGATGTGTGGGTGGTGTAATGGATAATGGCTCAGAATTGTTAATCAGAGAGCAGTTCCAGTTCCATATGGGTTCATTATATTTACTTAGATGCAAATACCCTTGGGAAATGTATGAATCTACCTCTCCTCCCCTCAAGCTATGGGTTAATTAGTAAGATTTGTACAACTAAAATCATCATCTCAAAAAAAAATTCTTACAATCTAAAAATATTTTCTGGCTTTAAATAATCTGCAAAAGGTTAAGCTATAAAAAATAATCAGTTTTCCTCTTCACACTAATCAGATTCCAAATATTTACTTTATTTATACAAAAGTATGGCACAAGGCTAAAAACTTGTAGTGGGAGATGAGCGTTTTTTTTGTTATCCTGTATTTAATTCGATTGCATTCACTAACTCCAACAATCATCAGAGTTCCTTTTGTGGTAATGTTAGATTTCTTGTAAATCTTTAATTCAAAATCACCAACAAGTCACGTTCTCTCCATTTAGATTCAAACTCAGATTTACAATTGCATGTCAGGAATAAAACAAATCCAGACATGCAATTGTAAATATGAAAATTGTAAATAAAATAACATTCAGATTTTGCAATTTAAAAAAAAAAAAAAATTTTTTTTTTTTTTTTTTTTTTTTAAACTTGGACCTTTTGTGTCTGCAAAAAAATAGATGGTTTTACTATAGACACTGCTATTATTTTAATTACCTTCACTCCTTGGCAATGTTCATTGCTTTAAAAAGTGATGTTTGGAATGATTGACAAAACACTGGCTAATTGCCAATGGATTCAAACTTTATAAAATGGTAAATAAGGATTTCCTTAGAGTTGGTTCAGAGATTTTAATAATTTAGTAAATGTTTATAAATTTATGAATAGAAAACTGTTTTCATATTTATTTCTTTATAAATTGGTAAATGATAAATATTGCATTGCATTAGTTTTGTATTTGTAAATATAAAATTATACTTGTAAAATCTCCTTTCACTCCTCCTCTTGCCATGAACCTCCTACTAACAGAATATCATTCTATTATCAATATGCAGAATGGGACTCATTCTGTGATTTCCTTCACAACATCTCTTGGAATGTGTTTTTAATCATTCTGTACAAAAATGTGCATTTGAGGTCTCCTCCAGGGTAAAAGCAGGCATTGAGGCTTTCATCCCAGCAAGAAAATATCAAGTTAAATCGCACTCATCTTAGTTGTTACCTTCTTCCTCTGCCGCTATAGCCCATAAGAATCACTTATGTCTGTACCGGAGCGACATGTCTCATTGCAACAGATGTTGCTTTGTCTCTGCTCGTGATAAGTGCAAACGTGTTTTCAATGAAGCAAAGTTAGTGTTTCCTGATAGAATGAACCAACGTACAGCATCTCACAAGTTCAGTTCAAGGGATTATTGGTGGCTCTGCAAGAGTGTGTGCTGAACAACAGCAAATCCTCAATCCCTCCTCTATTCAATCAATTCGAAGTCCTAACATTGATGCAGATATGGTTGAATGCTTTGCTAGGAAATTCTCTTCCAACTCAACTCTCGAATCATTTGGAGTACACACATGATTTTCCCCCTAGAACTGAGCCTATACTGAGTGAGTTGTGCATAATCCCATCTCTTAATTAGACTCTCATAAAGCAAGTGGTGGTGATGAGATACCAGCCGTAGTACTAAAGAAATTGTTACAGTGTTTTATATATATATATATATATATATATATATATCAACCAACTTTGTATACTTAGCAGTGCCTGAATAGTTGTTAGTTGTGATTGTCACTTGTGATGTACCTGTACAAATGATAAATGTTCAAAACATATCATTTTAATCTGACTCTAACCAAAAAAGATTGAGATCTGTTTAGCATCAGTAGTAACCTTACTTGATTCTTGCATTGTGCCATACTCAAGTTATTTGTCGTCATGGGTTTTATGTGATTGCAAAAATTTGGCAGTGATGCCCTCTATCTTGAGAGCCCGTTTTCTCCAAACAGCCATTTAGTTAGAAGAATACAGCTCTTACCTACATCAGACACACCCTATTCTATTTATAAGCTTACAGCTATATCACATTGAAACACTGGTTCTCATATGATCACTGGAGTTAAGCAATGCTGATCCTGGTCAGTATCTAGATGGGTGACCACTTGGAATACCTGGTGCTGTAAGATTGGATGTGCAGCTGGTGTAATGGATAATGGCTCGGAATTGTTAATCGGAGAGCCGAGTTCCAATTCCAGTTGTGTTCATTATATTCACTGGTATGCAAATACCGTTGGGAAAATTATGAAAGTAACTCTACTCCCCCGAGCTATGGATTAATAGGTAGGATTGTATCAGTAATTCTTTATCTCAAAAAATTATAACAATCTAAAAAAATATTTTCTAACTTTAAATAAGGGTTGATATACTGTAAAAACAAATCAATTAATCAATATTCAATTTATAATGACTTTCTATATTTTGAAAAATTTTAATCTTGCAACCAAAATTTTTAGAAAATCAACCTCTCGTTATGCCATTCACTGAAATTGAGGAAAATGTCTGCAGTATTCCCAAGAATGTCTGAAATTTGGCTTCATAATTGCTGCCCAAAATAAATGTATTCTTCTGTGTTTGATATAAAAACAAACAAAAAAATCCAGTATTTTAAGATACTAGGATTTTTTTTTTTTTTAGGAATCCCCAAAATATCCCTCAAGTTATTGCTAACATTTTTTGTGGAGATTCACAAACTCTACCTTTTGTTCAATAAAAACTTAATTTTACAAAAAAAAATTTATGAAAATTTATTGTATTAATCTATGTATCCTAGTAAAACAAACTGTACTTTGTAGCCCCCTTATCTGTTTGCATTTCTCCCCCAAATTTGGTTTCGATTGGTCAATGTATGGTTATTTTAGTCTTTCCATCTGTCACACCCACTAACAGACATCACAGAATTTTATTTATAGATTTGAATATCAAAAAATGTCATTGTATTTCATGAAATTTCATCTATCCATTAAAGATGTCATGTTAGAATCTGACAATATCTGTTTTTCATTGGCAAACAAAAAAGGAAAATCTACAATTGGAGGCAATTATTGTGCCTGCTGTAAGAAATGATCAAAACTGTTTTGAAATGGAGTGCATTTCATTAAATAATAGCAGAGTATAGTGTGCCATATTAATGAAATGATAGCAAATATTGATTGCAGAGTTGCAAAAACAATTTACTTTTCAGCAAACAGTCAATATTTGGAAGCAACAATCTATCTGCGTTTCTATACTCTAACAAAAAAAAAAAAAAATGTTATTGACAATTTTCTTTTTGACAGTACACAAGGAACTGGCTTAAAAGATGACTATCTTACATAAGTTAACAATATTGGTACTATAGTGTGTGATGGGGTAACAGCAACAATGATAGGTCATGGTGAAATTAGCCGTTTCCTTATAAGGAAACATTCTGTATTCAGTGAGTGAACAGTCAGTATTACTGTTGGTTAAAATTATAAAATCTTTCTTTTTAAAACAGTTTTTCAGGAAAATAGTCCACTGTTACATCTTTTTCTATATTGGAGTTTCTTTCCTAACCTTTTGTATTTGATGGTATGGAAAATTGATATATTGATTATAACTTTATTTTTCCTTCTAACTCCTTGTGCTATTCATTTTAGTTGGTGCTGATGTTGCTAAAAACCTCAATGAAAATTTGAAAGTGTGCATCAGAGTAATAATACAATTAAAGCCAAGATTCTTAATTCTTGACTCTTTACAAATGTAAAGAAAACAATGTTGCCTTGTAAAGTAATTGGCAAAAAATGCCCAACAAATGGAATTGACAAAGTTTCCGATAAACAATAGAAAACAAAGCAAAATAATATTAAGCAAACTATATATGCAAGTCACAACGAAGCAGAGCAATAGTAATAAGGCAAAAACTTCACAAAGAATGGTATTAACATGCAAAAGGGATACAGTCAAGTGACGATAGCGTTCTGACTTCAAGAAAGAACAGCAATATGGCTGAGACCGAATAGTGGTCCATTTTATTGGTTAGGAAGAAATCGCAGCATGCATCTGTATGATTTGTCAATAAATTTGCAGTCATTCCTCATAGGATTGGAACCAACACACCTTCAATGATCTTCCTGCTGAGGCAGGTGTTTATCATAAGGTTTGTGGAGATGTTTCATTCAACTGTGGAGTTTTTAAAGAATCTACATCTTACATTTGCAAATTAAAGTTGAGTAAAAAAAAAAATAAAATAAAACTGTCACCTCTGGGTATTGACTTCAATGTCCACTTTTATATTTATATATGCTCTATCCCTGATATTGACCACTTTAACTCATAAATATAGCATACCATAAATCTATATTATATATATGTGTGTGTGTGTATATGTAAAATAGGTTATTTAATAAAACAAGTTCAAACGAAAGGATATGATAATTATCAGTATGATAAACATGTATTAAATATTAATTATTAACCATCTGACAGAAATGAAGCATGGTGAGAAAAGTTTTTGGGAATTTTCACACACACCTGTGTCCTTCATCAACGGATCAAGGAATAAACAGAGAAATGGGAATTATTCACTGACAGATGTTTTTGTAGATGGGGTATTTTCCAGTGGAAATTGTATTGTTAGCAAAATCTTGATCTCTGATTCCTCAATGTGCAAAACTTTTTATGAAAATAAATTTATATATTACTACTTTTTTTTTTTTTTTTTTTTTTTTTTGTTTTATATGGTAAATTTAATGAAATGCAAAAGATGTTACCATGAAAGGACATCACAATCATTGAAGCCAGAGCTGCTACTTTAGGATTCTAGCCTAAATTTGGGTTATACACATGGTATTTTGGGCTGATGCAATTTTTAATATTTTGCATATTTGTCCTCTAGAGCAATCAGAAGAAGTGTATATAAAATTCTTATTTCTTTGTGCAAATTTAGTGTAAATTGTAATGTTGCTAATAGCACAAAATGGATCATTTTCAGCTAGATTCAGAAAAATCTCACATCTATTTAAAATGAATGATATAAATTAAAAAAAAATTCTCTGGAACAATTCAATTTCTAATCAATCTGATGAGAGGAAAATGATTTGAAAATGGGATTTAAAAAAAAAAAAATTATTCATCTAAAATTTCTGTATTTATTCTACATTGCCTATGACATTGTTTCTCAACCAGGTGTGTGTGGAGGGGATCTTTTTTTTTCTTTTTTCATTTAGAGAATTTTGTTTATTGAATTCCAATCCATTAGGATTCTATTGAACTTTTTTGTTTATTGAAGTCTGCTTGAGTTTAATAATTAGTTATGAATTAAAACAAATTAATGTACATGGGTTCATGTTTAAAAATCTATCAACATTTTTTATTGCTATTAAATTAGTAAAACACCACTTTAAAAATAATCCATTTATATGTACTAATATGGAAAAGAATGATAATTTTCAATAATATATGCATATTATTTGCAGTGCACCTTTTTGTTGAGTTGGACAATCTTGGAGAAATGGGGACAACCTTCTGATGCACAATGAACAGGGTGCGTTGGACAAAAAAGGTTCAGAACCACTGGCCTTTAACCCCTTCCCCACCAATTAATTTGGGGAAAAACATTTCATTTTCAGACAAATGTTTTTTTATTTGTTTTTAACATAGTAACTAAGAAACTGAGGTACCTTGAAGTACCCAAGTGGTGGCTAACATCTGTACTAAATGTATGAGTTGACAATTGTACTTGTTTCAAGCTCAGAAGGGCACAAAAAGAATCAAGATTGTATAAACAAGTCTAGTTGGCTTTTGAATGTTATGTTTTGGACGTGTTTATTCGTCAGTATCTGAAAAAGACACTTTTGGTAAAAATGCATACACAGTCTGTCAAGGAAAGGGTTAACATTCGTTTTCCTTGTAAGAAATAAGTAAATCACAAATTTATATATGTTAATGAATTGATCAATAGACAAAACATTTGGGGTTAATGTCCTACAGGCCATTGATATATATATATTGTAAATGTAATTTTTGTATTTTTTTAAATTTTTATTATTATTGCTTTCTTTATAGATTTACCAAGAGGCATTTGAGAAAAAATTCCTAGAAGCTACAGATCAGTTGTATGCAGCTGAAGGTCACCGGTTGATGCAGGAAAGAGATGTAAGTGTTGTGTGTTTTTTTTTGTTTTTTTTAACTGATAAAATATAACCAATTTCTGGTTGGTACATTCAGTATATCATAACTGGAATAGAGATAGCTGTATAATTCAGGGTTATTATATTCATTCTCTCTATAAAGTTAGCTTTCAGGCAGAAATGTATTAAAACATCTGTCCCTGTAAGGCTGATAAAATTGGAAAGAAAGTTTCAATATGCTTTGATTAATAGTACTTTCTTTGTGTTTTTTTTTTTAATTCCCATATATTTATTTTATAGACTTTTTTTTTTTATTTATTTGTTACAACAAACCAGCTCAGTGATCTTCAAATTTTGGAAGCTGTTAATTAAAATTTTGAATATTGAATGTTTTTACTTCTAATTTTCATTTTGATTCCTGATAATTGTTGTAGAGTAGTGGAGGCTTGTATTTCACCAAGTCTGTCCTAAAATATGTTTGACGTACAAAACGTTAGGAACTTGATATAATAGGTAATGACGCAGAGATCTAGTTGTGGTGGCTGCTACTTTTAGTATCCGACCAATGGTCGTCTGACATCGATTGACTGACCAACTCCGCGACTGCTACTACTCCTACTTATTATAGGTGGGAGAGTCTATTAACAATAGAATAGGTGTGTTTCACTATAACAATAATGAAAATTGTTTCAAATTTATTTTGTGCATAGGGCAGTCAAATATTCCTTTTCTTTATATCCAGTATTGCTTACGACTTCAAAGATAAATATATGATCTCCAATCCATTTAGATGTCAATTTGCTTCGGGGGTGGGCATTCTATCAACATTAATTTTGATTTTTACACTTTTCTTTTCAGGTACCAGTGTATTTATCCCATGTAGACAAGAGATTGAATGAAGAATCTGAACGGTTGTTGCATTATTTAGATCAAACCACAAAGTAAGTAAGGTTGCTTGTTACATGACTTAGATCAGACCCCAAATAAGTAAGGCTGCTTATTACGCAACTTAGAATAAACCACTTGAAAGGATTTTTTCCTTCTAGCTGCTTATTGCGTTTTGTTTCAAGGAGTTTGAGAAAAATGAATTTTTCTAAAAAAAAAAACCAAACATTTAGGTAGTATTTTGACTAGTATTGGTTTCTATTTTTAAAAAAAAATGACTGCAAAGAAATTCTGTATTCACTGAAGAAATTTCCTAAATGAAATCTTCTCAACAGGTGAGAGTGAAAACTGACGAGAGGTAAAATTATTTTTCTATTATTGTTGATGTATTTTCACATTTATTTTGGTGAGGAATGTCATTATGCAGTTAATGTTATTGGAAACAATAACAGTATTAATCCATTTTCTGTCTGAATTTTTGGACATGAGGCATTATTATTATTTATATTCAGTCCTCAACTTTGTTGTTATCATCACAACATTTTAGCTATTGTGTCCTCTGACCTCTTTTTGGTGCCTCTTGGTCTCAATAATCTACAGGGAATTTCAAACTAAACCCTTTATTTTTATCTACCATTGTAGATAAAGATTTCAGTTTGAAAACGCCTTGAACATTACCCCAATTGAGAGACACCTTTAACACATTGGCTCCTAAGCCTCATTTTGCTTGTTGCCCCAGGGTCCCAACACTATATCTTAAATCCTGTCAGAGTGAAATGAGGAAAATAATGAGGGCAAAGGAAGTTGATGAAGAAAAGTAAATCCATTTTGTGCTGAATGTGAAGGTAATCCTTCCGTTTGCGTTTGTGTTTCAATAAGAGACATAAAATAAGAATCAATTCAGCTTTTCTTAGTTGTGGAACAATATCTGCTTTTATATTTTTTCTTTTCAGTAATCAGACATTAAGAATATGAGGTTTTTTTTTTCTTCATTTATTAAGAATCTGATTTCTATTAGATTAGAATTCTTGTGTTTATATTACTTATTGTAGACATTATTTTGGTTTTCTAAGAAATTAAAGTGTACTTCTTTTTTTTTAATTTCATAATGTTTTACTAATTTTCTGTTTACTGAAACTTTTAGTTTTTCTGATTGTATGGTACAGCTCTGTTTATTAAAAAAAAAATTAATGATCCAAAAAAAACAACAGTAGAAACTGTAAAAGGGAAGGCAAAAAATTAAAATTATTTAAATTTTTTTTTTTTTTTTTTTCTTTTAGAAAGTAATGTTTCTGGTATACCATATATATCTCATAAGTAATCAATCCTAGCATCCCATTCTCAATCCTCTGGAAAAAGATCTACTGGCAGATTGTGTGAACCTTGCAGACATACTACCGTGACATTCTGGTGGGTTGTGTGGGATCTAGCGTGTTAAAGCCAGTTGATTTAGTGGTTAAAATGTGATAACAACAAAGATGAGGATAATTGTCCAAATATAAATATTAATGCATTATCTGCAAATGATGGCAATTTCTGATACAGTTAAAGAATCGGCCTGACTTTTGTGCAAGTTTTTGTTGTGCAAAATTTTGAGAGTTCTCTTGTCAAGTATGCAAGAATTAAAATTTTTAAAAAAATCTGTTAAGCCAGTTAATTAAGAAAAGACATCAATCTAACTTTTTTCTTTTCTTTAATATTTTTGCTTGCAATTGTTCATTGACCTTTCACTTTGTTTACCCACAGGAAACCACTTATCACATGTGTGGAAAAGCAGCTATTGGAACAACATTTATCATTGATGTTACAGAAAGGTGAGTTTGGAATTGCAAGCTGTTGATATTTTAATTACAGTAATTGTTTATTCCTAACAGTTTCTGGAGTATTTTTGTTTGGCTTCAGCCATTGTGATAAAATCCTGAACTCTAACATTGTTTGATTCTTGGAGAAAAGCCTTTGAAAATTCTGGAATACATTTTGCTTTCTCTTCTCCAGTTTCAAAATCAGATCCTTCGGATACTGTTTATAGTTAAAAACAGTGTGGACTTCATGGTGACTGTCGATTTCACATTTATTATCATATGCCCTAGATAACAAGCTTTTAGTATGGTTAGAAGGGGAGTTCATTTGGCTCCCTCTATAATTTCTTGCATTTTCTATTATTGTAAAGTCTTTTTCATCACCTATCACATAACATTTCTTTTCTTTGTGTGGAAGGTACACATCAAAAAGACTAACATAGGCAACCTGGCAGATACCTTAGCATGTTATAATGGCTAGTGAGCTAGATTAGTAGGCTATTCCTATTAATGAACAGTGAGTTCAATCCTCTTTGGATGCTCCATATTTATGGCATTTTGCCAAACTTAGCTTAGTAAATAACACAAGCAGGTTGATGCAAATGATTTTGTTTATAATCTTTTGATAGTTTCCTTATTTTTTTTTTTTTTTTTTTTTTTTTAATGGTATTGATTATTCCTACTAATATCTTGGCTTGGGTACTATTTATCTCAGCTGGGTTACAAAACTCTGATGTATTGGCCAGTAAGAAATCTCTATTACACTTTCAATCATTCATGTTTTTGCCTCCATAAATTTTACTTTTTTTGGCTTTACCTTCTTTAAGATAAAACAATGTCTATTGTTATTTTTCCCTGTCATCCTCAATTTTACACAGAAATAAACCAATTTTTGACAAATGAAAAATTACACACTCATGCTATAAATTAAAAGTAATCTTTGTGAATAAAGTTGATTAAAATAAAATGCTCCAAAGGCCATTAGAAAAACAAACTTTTTTTTTTTTTTTTTCCTGGTTGGCCAATATTAGGGTGAAATGTGTATATAGGTTTGTAAGCTTTTGTATTGTTCTGCAAGACTGGTATTTAGGATTGTTTTTTTTTCCCGTTTTTTTTTTTTTTTTTTGTTTTTTTTTTATTATTATTAAAAACAAATACATTTCTTTTGTCAACCTCCCTCCCTTCTCCCTAGACTGCTGTCCTACTTTGAAAGGAGTGTCACCATTTCCTCACTTGCACAATAGTCGTTCAGATCAACTACAATCTGATGTCAAGCCTGTGTCAATTTTTCACCTGGCTTTATATTTTGAAGAGTTTTTTTTTTATAATCTCTTCCAGTAATAAAGCTTAAATAATACTTAAAAGAAAAAATAAATTTTGAAATTATGTTGGAAGATGGGGGAGGAGCTAATGTTTGTTGATGTAAATAATCAATTTTTTTTTTTTTTTTTTTTTTTCCCCATGAAGACAGTCTGGTGTATTTTTTGTACTTATTGATCTGGTTATACGTAATCACATCAGGAAGTATAGTACTAGTGACAAAATGAAAGAGTAAATTTGTAATATCAATTATGTCCAACACATTTTAGAATGTATTACAAATTCTACTTGTTATGAAAGTTATTTTTGTGCATGTAGTCTTTTCTGCTGAATATTTCAGCTGAGGAGGAAAAAAAACTGATTTGTATTAATTTAATTTTTATCAAATATTAATTTTTTTTTTTTTTTAATTAAAAAATAAGGACAAATATAAAATTCTTTTAAGCTGTAAAAGAAAAAAAATGTATTGACTAAATTTTATCTTGATTGTTTAGTTTAACATTTCATTTCTATGATGATGCTACTATTTGAGCAATACACCCATATTTAGAATTATAAAATGATTTGTATTTGTCTCTGAGATGAGGTATTATGATTATTTACATTATTCAGACTGCTATCCTCCTCTTCATTGCCACATTCACAACATTTCAACTGTTGTATGCTCTGACCTTCTTCAGATTGGAATTTTGAACTGAACCCTTTATTTCAACAATCTACCCCTGTGGATGAAATAAAAGGTTTGATTCGAAATTCCAATCACCTGAAGAAGGTCGGAGCATACAATGGCTGAAATGTTGTGAATATGGCAATGAAGATGAGGATAGCAGTCTGAATAATGGAAATAATGATTTGTATTTGTAGGAAATAAATCCTAATAGTTATACTTGACCATCCCTTTGTTAGGTCACATGACTGTTATATCCTGCCAATACCTCATAATTAATGGATTATTTCATTTTGATCCTGTGAAAAGAGGGAAAAGACACTACCTGGTTTCACTGAGAAAATGAAAAGAAGAAAAGAGGATAGAAGTGTTTAGCACCTCCTTCTAATACCTTATAAATAATGGACTTTTCTATTTTGATAGCATAGAAAGATGAGAAATACACTACTTGGTTTCAGTGAGATAAAGAAAGGAAAGAGTGTTTAACAGCTATTTCAGTGAAATATAAAAAGGTCCCTGGTTCAATCTTAGTTTTTGGCACCACCAAACTCTGGAATTATTTGTTAGTCAAATATTTTGTCCATGACTAAAAATGGAATAAATTCACTCTGCTGAAATATCATGTAGCTGATAGTCGCACCTAGCACATGTCAAGTTTTGTAGATTCTTCTGTCTGCTTGTCTGTGCAGATCACCTTTTTATTCAGATTTTTGACTATGCATGCAAATTAGCAATAGTTTTAAAAGCACTAGAACCATGCATGTGCCTTAATTGCAAATGGCAGGCGAGGCATTGTGGCCTCTTAGCCACAGGTAGGTTGGAATTCCTTGATCCTATTTCATCACAAGTTGTTCAATTCAAATCTTTTCATTTATACCCACTTCTTAACATAATGATCAGCATTGATATTTATGATTGTTATTACAATATTTTGTTAATCTCAAATATTTAATGAAGCAATAGAAGAATTTCTACAGATATTTTAATGTCATAGAACTTGTCTTGAGCTTATTCAATCATTAAGAATTAAGTTTCATCAGAATATTGAAATAGAAAAACCATGAAATTTTCATCGGTCTTTTTAGTTATAATTAATATTTCAGTTTTGTTGATAGTAAATTTTTTTTTTTTTCTCTGCAGGGCTTGAGCATTTGTTGAATGAAAATAGGATTTCTGACCTAACTCTAATGTATCAACTCTTTTCTCGGGTTAAAGAAGGTCTAAAAGAATTGTGCTATGCATTTGCCACTTATATCAAGGTAAGTTGCATTAACTTTGCAACCGAAGTACTTCTTTCGATTCTTGATCTGTAAAGAATTGACATGTTTGTATCGAGGCCTCGCCCTTTCTAAAATGACTAGTTCAATTCATTGCATAACTTGCGTAGAAATGTATATGACCCGTAATATGTTAAGATTTACTCAAGATTTTTTTGCTTTCATTTCTTCATAATTCAAATCTTGGTTTATTCTAAAAAAAAAAAAAAAAATTGCAAATTTAATTCATTAAATTTGGAAATGAAGTTCATTCAAGAGGCAGATCTCAAGGTTTCACTTTTCTAAAACTTGTACAATTATAAATTGGGAGAAAAAGGTCAACATATATCACATGCAGTTATCACTGATGTAAGCACAGTTTCAAACTTGATATTTTGTAAATAAAAACAAAGTACAGGTAATTCTTTATGAAATTGGTGATTGATTTGACAATGAATTTTTATTATGAACAGGAGCCCCCCCCCCCCACCTCTAGAATTGATAAAAATCAATATTTTTCAATTATGACAAGTGTGGCTTTGAGGGTTGTCTAATGAATGCTGATGTACAAAAATTATCTACCCTCCCATTTTGTTTTTTATTTTTATTATTATTATTATTTTTTTTATTTTTTTTTTTTTAACAAATGGACCAGTTAGTTTAAATAGTGCTTTAATAACCAATAATTTGATTTATTGTTTAAAAACTACATATATTTGTCTCCAATGTGGTAATTTGTTTAACCCTTTGAAAGTTCTTTTCAAGTCTGCTGATTTTATTTTCTTTGATAAATTGAGAAAAATTGAATGTTGTGAATTAAGGTTTAATGAATTGATTTTTTTTTTTTTTTTTTTGCTAAAACAAGAGAATCAGCTTATAAAAGTTTGTCTATGCCTCTCTTATTTTTATTAATAAGTTTTCATACGATAGTAGAAATTTAATCAAAAAAAAAAAAATCTTTTGTTCCATTTTGTTTCTTTTAGGGAACTGGGCGGTTGATAGTTATGAACACTGAGAATGATCCTGAAAAAGACAAAGAATTGGTCCAGACATTGTTAGGTAAGAAAAGAACTCAAACGGAAATCTCAATTTAATGATTGCAAGACATAAGGAGACCTTTTAGATTTCAAGATTTAGTTTTGGTTTTTTAAATTGAAACTTTTTCAATTCTTCATCTACAAGTGCATATTTTTCTTAGATTGTTAGTTCTCAAAATTCTTAAAGTGATAAAAAAAATCAAACTGGTAAATTATTGCTACTTTAAGTTAACCCATGCCTAAAATAACAAAAGCTGCAATTTTACATTATCTACATTATTTGGACTATTGTCCTCATCTTTGTCGCCATGTTTATTACATTTTGGCTGTTGTACACTACGGCCTTCTTCAGGTGGTTGGAGTGTCGAACTGAACCCTTTATTTCGCTCACTGGAGTAGACTGTTCTAGTTCCACGTGCCATGTTTAATGGATGTCAGTTATCTCCTGTTAATTTCCCTCTGTAAGTTCTCCACTGCCTTAACCGGGTATTGAACTCACACTCTTTGGGTCCTGTCACTGGATCTAACCAACGCCTTTATCCACTGTGCCATGTGTCCTTGAGCGTACAACAGCCAAAACGTAATCAATATGGCAACAAAGATGAGTACAATAGTCCGTATAATGTAAATAATGTACATAATACCTCATCTCAGGAATATAGACTGAGCTGCAATTTTGTTCAGATATTTTGCTCAAAATTTTAAAGAATTTTGAGAACAAATTGAAAGCTACACACTTTTTAGAGCTGATTACAATCTTTAACAAAATTGGTATAACTTATGTGCTAAAATGATTCCTTTACTTGAATTAAAATATATAATTTTTAAAAATCTCTGTGCATGAAATTAAAAGAAAAACATGTTTTGGTATTTTAATATTAATTGTAATAATTCTATAAAAAAAACATTTTAAAATTTTTCCAGACATATAAGAAAAAAAGAGTGAGGACAAAGTCTTTGATATGTTTGTCTGTTTATTGCCCACTTTACATTTTTTGTTTTATAGCTTGGTTATTAAGTCACTGATGGTTGAGTGTGTGTTTTTGTTTGTATATATGTCTGTTAGTGTGTTTATATATCTCTCTGTCTGAATTTTTTGTTTAATTTATTGTCCATTTATAATCAGTACTGCTGATTAATATATTTCCTCAGCATTACCTTGATGATTTTAGCCGTATTTGTCGGGTTAAATTTAATTCGCCCTTTCTCAAGATACATTCTGCTTAAACCTTATATTGTAGGGAATAAATTATTTAAAATGGACATTTGAAAAGAATAAGTTGAAATGAAAATGTTCTTTGAAAAACAGGGCATACAAGTCATTAGAAATTTTTAAAAGATTTCTTAAAACTAATGCAAGAAATACATTGCCTATTAAGTATATTTCCAGCTTTGATAGATCCCAGATCTGTGCAACCCTACTAACCACTTTAATTTTATTTCATTATTTTTATTTATATATATATATATATATATATATATATATATATATATATATCATGAACAATATCAATGAAATGTATTTTGGTCAATATTTGGAAGCATGGAGTAAAAACAATTTTGGATTCAGCTAAAGTCAAGGATGACAATGATGTGCTATGAAAGATTTTTGTTGCTTTGAAATAGATATACTTGAATGTTGACTCATTCGGACTGAGCCTGACCCCCAGAGTTGCCACTGAGATATTTTACATAATTATATAATCGTGATATCTTTTAAATACATATGTAAATATTTATTCACACATTAACAGCTGTTTCATACTTTTTTTTTTTTTTTTTTTTTTTTAATAAATGGGTGTCTGTTTATTTTGAATGCGGAGATCTCTTCATCTTTTCAAAAAGAATACATCAGTATGCCCTCTTGTATGCATGTAAAAAAAAAATATATATATAATATATATATATATATATATATATATATATATACATTAATGTCAGCATCCAGTGCTAACGTTATGTTTCATGCTTAAGCTCAATCTTCATGGCCTAAAGATTGCATTTAAGCATGAAACACTGTCAGCGATGTTGGCCTCAGTGTCCACGTTTATATTTACACACACTCTACCCCTTATATTGAGCACTTTAATCCATAAATATAGCATACCTTAAAACTATTTTTTATCTCTTTCTCACACACACACACACACACACACACACACACACACACGAGAGCAATTTACCAATTGTCAGACTGTCCTGGGTAAGACGATAGACTACCTCAAGGCCTCAGATCGGGAGGTTTTGAGGAGCATGGAACCACCTCGTAATTGCTGGTGTTCCCAGGTCCACCTTGACTTGTGGTGATAGCACCTGTTAGGGTCCCAGCTATGGGTAAATAGTTAACTCCCCAAACTGGGGTCAAAACATCATGAAAGTGTAAAAATAGGTTTTAATAACAGCAATGAATTTTTGAAGAAAAATTATTAACAGCAATACTTTTTTTTTTTTTTTTTTTTTTTTTTTTTTTTTTTTGAAAAAAAAATATTAGCAGCTGTACATTTTAAAAAAAAATATATTACCAGCAATAAAAATTATCAGCATTAAATAACACATCGAGGTTGATATGCTGTAAAACAACCAAACCAATTGTCAGAGCTTCAATTCAATTAAAGGTCTGATTTCAAATGTTCATTTTCATAGATTCTATATTTATAGGTATTACATTAGTATTGTGATAAAGTATACATTATCCGCGAGGCATAAACCTCCATTGCTACAGATTTTATTAATCCCTTTATAGATTTAAAATTTTTTTTTTTTTTTTTTTTTTAATACCTGTTTTGAATTAACTGTTCTAATTTCTATGGTTAGTCAAAACATGTTCCAAATGGCACAATCCTTTTTAAGACCTTCATAATAAAGTTGATGTTCACAAGTTGACCAATATGGCATTGTCTTCAGATTGCTTCTTTTTTGTTTCTCTTGTGTCTATTATTAATCCACATAAAATGTGTAGCCATAAATATTTTCTGTCACACAGATGCTGCACACAGGTTCTAGGCAGGAATGCCAGGAAGTGAGCCCTTGGTTCTGAGGCAGAGTAGATATTTTGATTCATAAGTAAATAATTATTTTATTTTTTATGGCTAGTATACTAATTGGTTGGTAGAAATTTCTTAAATACTTTTGCAACTATTTCCATAATCTTTGGCGCTTTGCTGAATTGAGATTTTAAAATATTTAGATAAATAAAGAGAAAGTATTCACTTCCATGCAAATTTTTTTATAAACAATATTTCTAATGTTCGCTTTGTCAGTTTCATTTTTGTTTCAATTTCTTTCTTTTTTTTTTTTTTTTTTTTTTTTTCATGCGACAGATTTCAAGGACAAGATAGACAACATTATTGCTGTGTGTTTTCAAAAGTCTGAGCGATTTGTGAGTGCCATGAAAGAAAGTTTTGAACACTTTATCAATCAACGACAGAATAAACCTGCAGAATTGATAGGTAAATATGTTTCTTTTAATTTGTGTGTGATGGGTGGGGTTCTGAAAAGTTATTGGACCAAATGTCTTTTTTTCTTTGGTTGGGCCCAGAACTTTTCATCACCTTTTTTCTTGAGAAACTTTCCCCACCTCTCTTGGCCCTCAAAATCATGATTATCGAACAGTTGCTGTTTTAAGAGCTAAACTCCAGCCCCTCGTAAATTGTAATGTGCTAATTATAGTCTTGTATAATAGAATGATTGCATTGAAAATGAATAAGACCATTGTATTAGTTTTTTAAAAAAAGAAAAAAATTATAAATTGAATTAGTCAGGCTAGTGTTTTTTTTATCTTGGTTGCTAATCTTAATGCTTCAACCATTGTACTATTCAGTCTTCTTCAGGTGTCTGTTGTACTTAATAAGGAATTTTTTAACCAAATCCTTCATTCAAACTATGGTTGTTGTTATCCTTTGCTAAAATGGAAATTTTATAACAGTTACTTTCGAGCTAATTATTTTATTGCCATATTTCTTGTCACTTTGACTAAACCAGAATATGACTTTTGTGTTACCTGACCCAAGGATTGGACACCCAACAGCCAAGTGACCTAGATCTGCTTAACCAAGGCTTTTATTCCTCAGGCTATGCCCTAAAAGATTATAGTGACAAACATCAGAAGAATACAATAACTGAAAAAAGTTTGAGGAAATGGTTAATAAATTTTACATTTGTTGGAAATTTTCAAAAAGTTAAGAGTTAAAACTTTGGCTGTTATAAATCATACACTATTCAAACTTTAAAATCTTTAAATAAATTTATAAATATTATTTTTAAGAGTTAAATTTGGCAAACATTATTACATTCAAACTTCAAATAACTTGACTAAGCATCATCAATTGATTCCACTTGCTTTTTGTAATTACTTGTGATTTTACTACAAAAAAAATCTGTCCATTAATTGTAGTGGAAACTAAAAGAATTTTTTATATTTTTCATCAATGTTTGTATTCAATAAATTTTTTCTTTCAAATTTTGTAGCCAAATATGTGGACTATAAACTTAGAGCAGGCAATAAGGTAAGTTAATTGTTTAAACTTAATTTTGAGATCAATAACTAAATTTTTATGGGGACAGCTTTGTTTAAGAATATTTTTTTAGCACTGTTACAGGCAGTAATTTTGAAATCTAAAACAAATAGCAAGTCCTTATAAAGAATGTCCAGAAGTCATTGGCTTGAGACTATTGTCTGTTGTGCTTGATATTTCAGTAAGTGACTTACTCTTGGTCATCTGAATAATAATGTTAAAATAATCCAGACTAAATGAACGTTTATTACTTTTTGTAAATAAAACCTGAAAGTAAAAAAAAAATAATTATTTCTTTAAACTTTTTTGTTTTTGTTTACATCATTTTTACGGAATCTATTTAATTTCCAGGAAGCCACTGAAGAAGAATTGGAAAGGCTTTTAGATAAGATCATGGTACTTTTTCGGTTTATTCATGGTAAGTTCTGAGTTTTATTCAGCCTGAAAGCTATGGATTCTGTTTATTCTTCAAAATATGTGGAAAATCTTCAACACCCACACTTGTTCCTCCTCCTCTTTCACTCTCTTGTTTTCTCCTCCTCTTTCACTCTCTTGTTTTCTCCTCCTCTTTCACTCTCTTGTTTTCTCCTCCTCTTTCACTCTCTTTTTTTTTCTCCTCCTCTTTCACTCTCTTGTTTTCTCCTCCTCCTCTTTCACTCTCTTGTTTTCTCCTCCTCCTTTCACTCTCTTTTTTCCTCCTCTTTTCACTCTCTTTTTTTCTCCCTCCTCTTTCACTCTCTTGTTTTCTCCTCCTCTTCACCTCTCTTGTTTTCTCCTCCTCTTTCACCTCCCCTCTTTTGTTTTCTCCTCCTCTTTCACTCTCTTTGTTTTCTCCTCCTCTTTCACTCTCTTGTTTTCTCCTCTCTTTTTGTTTTCCTCTCTTTGTTTTTTCTCCTCCTTGTTTCTCCTCCTCTTTTCACTCTCTTGTTTTCTCCTCCTCTTTCCTCTCTTGTTTTCTCCTCCTCTTTCACTCTCTTGTTTTCCTCCTCCTCTTTTTCACTCTCTTGTTTTTTTCTCCTCCTCTTTCACTCTCTTGTTTTCTCCTCCTCTTTCACCTCTCTTTCACTCTCTTGTTTTCTCCTCCTCTTTCACTCTCTTGTTTTCTCCTCCTCTTTCACTCTCTTGTTTTCTCCTCTTTCACTCTTGTTTTCTCCTCCTCTTTCACTCTCTTGTTTTCTCCTCCTCTTTCACTCTCTTGTTTTCTCCTCCTCTTTCACTCTCTTGTTTTCTCCTCCTCTTTCACTCTCTTGTTTTCTCCTCCTCTTTCACTCTCTTGTTTTCTCCTCCTCTTTCACTCTTTTTTTTTTTTTTTTTTTTTTTTTTTTTTTTTTTTTTTTTTTTCTTCTGGCCTTTGCTTTCTCAAAAGTTTAATTTCTCTCTAGGAATAAATCAAGTGTTTGAGAATTTAATGTAAGTATTATTAACTTGATTCTGAAAAAGTGACAAAAAATTGCAATTAATTGGCATTATGCAAACAATTATAATTCTGATTCCAATTTAATATTTTTATTTATTTATTTTTAATAAATATTTTACAGGCAAAGACATGTTTGAAGCTTTCTACAAGAAAGACCTTGCCAAGAGGCTAATTGTTGGAAAGAGTGCCTCAGTGGATGCTGAGAAGTCCATGTTGTCCAAATTGAAACAAGGTTTGTTCTTTTCAGCTGGGTTCCAATTCTCTACATAGACAATTCTTATGATTATTGTTCTCCCACCCCTGCCCCTCTTGACACCATTTCTTCATTCTTTTTTTCTTCTTTCACACTTTAATTTTAATCTACACAATTGGACAAACTTCATTTTAAAAAATATTAAAAGCAAGCGTCTCAATTTTTATTTAATTTTTATATAACTTAAATCAATGTTTTCTTGAAACCTGCATGAACATCATGTAAGTTTCTTTTCAAATGTTATTCATTTAATTTTCATCCTTTTTTATTATATGAAACTGAAGTGAATGAACTGCATTTTCATTTCCAAAGTTAAACTATTAACTTTAACTGTTGCTTCAAATTTTTACTTATCCATCATTCTAATTTTAAAAAAATCAAAAAAAAATCAGTTATAATTTTTTTTTTTTTTCTGTCAGAGCCATTTAGTGCAGTTGAAAAATGTAAAAAGAAACAAATGAGAACTGATGTTTCATGTATTGGGGGGGGATGATTAAATTTATGATTCTGAAAAAGATTTCTGGACTTTATAAAAATTTCTACTTTTTGTTTTGTAGAGTGTGGAGCTGCCTTTACTTGTAAACTTGAAGTTATGTTCAAGGATATGGAATTGTCTAAAGATATCATGTTGAATTTCAAGCATGTAAGCTATTTTACTTTCCTGCCATTTGTTCTGCTCTTGACATTTACTTCTCAACAATGGAATGTTAATATTAAATTCTTTCATTTTGGCCTTTTCTAAAACTTGTCTTCAGGATCCTTTTCATTTTGATATCCCTCTACATTAAATTTAAACCGTTTTTGAATTTAGGATGAACAATTCCAGACATTTGGTCTTCCCAAATTCTAATGCATATACTTGTCATAATGTTTTTTGTTTAAATAACTGAGAATTAGGAAAGCCATAGTTAGAGTATCGAAGGAACAGAAGAATAGATAGAGAAAACAAAGAAAGAAGAGGTTTATTCTCATACATAGAATGCAAATACTTGAGTAAATCAAATACTACTCAAACCCTCTTCTAATGTGTCTACTTTCCATATCCTGTCCTGGGTATGATGATAAACTACAACTGGCAGCAAGTCCTCTGATTGGGAGGTTTTGAAGAGCATGGAACCACATCTTAATTACTGTTTGAAAGTATAAACATTTTTATAGTAAAAAAAAAAACCCAAAAAAAAATACACATTCATAGTAAAAGTCTACCACCAATACGTTTTTGTAAGAGAATGTGGTGGTCGGGGAATATGAAATTAATGAAATAACCTTATACCTCTCAAGATATTAAAACAATAGAAAACATCACCTGAGGAAGGCCAAAGCGTACAATAGCCAAATTGTAAATATGACAAAGATGAGGACAACCGCCTGAACAATGTAAATAGTATAACTATTTTCAGAAATCTAGACAGATGTTAACAACATTTGTGGCACTTTTTATTTTATTTTTTAATTTTGTTTTTCATTCTCACTTGCTTCACATTTAATGATAAACTAAAAGTTTTCTATTGGTTTATATCTGGAGAGGTTTAAGGCTTTCATTAAGTTTTTTCATTAGCTTTGCAGAATGGGATGAAATTCATCAACGAAGGTGCTGATTTTTTTTTTTTTTTTTTTTTTGTACTTTCAAACTTTTCTAAGATTGTCTTCAGGGGTAAATTACAATGACAAACTTATTGTAACTTCAAGTAAATCTGCATTTCATTGTCATGGGTGATTTTTTAAAAACAGATGAATGCGTTCTATTACTTCAGAATTCAGGCCTTTCAATATAAGGGAGCTGACCAGGAATTGCTAAAAATCACCATGACAACGGAATGCAGATTTTATCACAGTTACAATATATTTGTCTTCTTGATGAATTTCATTTTAACATCAAGAAAATGATTAGACAACTGGAAAGTATAAAAATAGACACCCTATATCTATATTATTCAATGAAACCTGTGTGTGTGTGAGGTATATATATATATATATATATATATGTATGTGTGTGTGGTTTTGTTTATCATTACTTGCCTTAATGAAGTCTAGTCTAATGACAAAATCAGCAAGGACTAAGAACTATTTTCCGATTGTCTGTTTTATTCAATTTGTCTTCTCCACAGATTTATTCTAGAACTTTAACACACACACACACACACACACACGTATATAATTTTGTGTTTCTCAAAAATGCCTAATGTACATGTGATGTGCAGAAGTAGAAATGTATTTGAAAATGTTCAAATATTTGTCAGTTTGCAATTCTGCTGTAGTGATGAATTTTTTTTCTTTTAATGTTGTCAGTTTGAAAAGATGACATTTGTGAATAGTTAACCTTGTCTAACCATTTTTCCTCTTTCTCTCTCATCAGCATATGCCAGCAGGGAGTCAACCGGGAGGTATTGATCTAAATGTAAATGTTCTTACAATGGGGAACTGGCCAACTTATCCCCATATGGAAGTACATCTTCCAGTAGAAGTAAGTTTCTCTCTATCTCCTCTTCTTTTTTTTCTCCTTTCATAACTCCAACATTGTTGAGATACTTTCTAAATTTATAGGATTCTATTTTATTACTTTATTCTATTTTTTCTTTTTTTTAATTTCTTTAATGCTTCTATTCTCTGAGTTGATATTTTATTTTGATTTGACCTTTTTAGTTGATTGTTGAGCACACTGCTTTCTCCTACATTTCATAGCCTGTGTGTAAGAAGACTTTTCCTCTTGCAACTATGGTAGATGTAATGTTCTCAACACCTTTGACTCAATAATGAATGTAGAAATGAAAAACTCTCAACATCCAAAAAAGATCATTTCATATTCATGTAAGCGGGTTATTTTATTCTATCATTTCAGATGGTTCAATATCAGGAAATTTTCCAAAAGTTTTATCTTGGCAAGCACAGTGGTCGAAAACTTCAGTGGCAACCAACCTTAGGGCATTGTGTTTTAAAAGCAGAATTTAGTAATGTACGTTTTTTTTTTTTTTCTTTTGATTTTGATTCTATTGGAAACTAAATTGTGAGTACAATAATGTTGCATGCACAGCATTTTTAAACATTAACTAATCCCAATAGTTAAATTTCTTTATATCGTACAATAGCCATGTCAGTTTCTTGTTATTACAACAAACATTCAATGTTTTTACTGGATTGTGAACAGAATCAAAATTTAAAATTTTTTGAATGTGCATTGAAGTGATTTTGATAAATTTCAACAGCTGCTGAAATTAGATTCTTTCTCTAAATTAGATATATCTCAAAGTTGATTGCATAGATCTAGTAACTAGGTTCCGCAAATTGGAGGAGAGAGTTATCAATGATAATATTCTGACTTCGAATCGGCGGTTATCTCCCTTTAAATCTGTTTTTTTTGGGGGGGGGTCTCCTATTTTTAAATTTTCTTTTTATCACAAAAATTGGTAAGGAAATTTTCATTCTGAAAATGTATCCAAAAAAAAAAAGTTTGGGAACTACTCGCATAGTTCATGGAAACAAAAAAAAAAAAAATTGTTTTGTATATAGTTGATAAAATTCTTAATTTATAGATATTTGAATCTTTGCAAATCTGGTTGTCGTTAAGGCTTAAAAATTAATAAGTTATTTTATGCATATTGTCAGTTTGTGTTAATGCCATCAAATAAAGTCTGTTAATGGGTTGAATAGGTGGAACATACATACTGTAAATAAAATGTGCCTTTATTTTGGTTATATTGTCTTACTTCTTAAGAACATATAATTATAAATATTATAAATCAAATAATAATTTAAAAAAAAAAAAATGAAAAAACTTGCAAACATGCACCCACAAAAAAACCAAAGTGTCAAAAAGGACTTGTCTTCCCTTGACACCATTATTATTTTAACTACCTTCACTCCTTGGCAATCTTTATTGTTGTAAAATGTGATGATTAGAATTTTAATAAAACCTAAACATGATTAAAGTGAATTTCTAGATTTTGTTTGTTCTTGAGAATTGAAAACAAAAATAATCAACATTAATTATATTGTTTATTGGAATGGTTTGCAAAACACTGGCTAATTGCCAACTGAAATGGTAAATAAGGATTTCCTTATAGCCCGTTCACATTTCTTTATAATTTAGTAAATGCTTATAAATTTACAAATAAAAAAAAAAATTTCATATCTGTTTCGTTATAAATTGGTAAGTGATAAATAATACAGTTGTATTCGTTTTTATAATGTTGCAAATATAAAATTATTCTTGTAAATAAATCTGATAAATATTTTTTAATATTTTTGTAAATTCTCAAGAACAAAAAACAATGCATAAGTTCACTTTCATATGTTTAGGTTTTATTACAATTCTAATACTCATTTTTTTTAAAACAATAAACATTGCTGAGGAGTGAAGGTATTTAAAATAATTGCAGTGTCAATGGAAGAACTGTCCTTTGACACTTTCTTTTGCAATTACAGAGATCCAAGATTGCCAAAAAATGTTTTGAGAGAACTCCGTATGTAATGCTCTATTGTCTGTCTTGTATGTGTTTTTTTCATAAAGTATTACAAAGGAGGGGGGGTAATGATTAGTCGAATCAAATAGGGGGTGCACTCATAACAACAATCCATTTCTTTAAAATGTTTTGCTTCATAAGGAATGCTGTTGAATTGTTAAGTATTTTAATTTTGCTTTCTTTCTCTCTTTAAGGGAAAGAAAGAGTTGCAGGTATCTTTATTCCAAACATTGTGTTTCCTTCTCTTCAATGATGGTGATGAGTTCACATTTGAAGACATCAAACAAGCCACTGCCATAGGTAAATTCTTTCAAGATTAATTGCAGTTCGTGGTTTTATTCATATGTGTAGATGAGCACACATAGAAGGGAGATAACTCGATAATTCTCATAATTGATCTAAAGTTTTAATACATTATTTCATGTGTTTAGATCATTGGTCATGGGCTATTTGTTCCCTTTTTTAAGAATTTCATTTTAGGTTTTGATAATATTCATGAGTCAATAACTAGTAGAAATATTCCATATAAATAATTTGCCATGATATTAAAAATGAAAAACATAATTTGTACACTTAAATTTGTTTGCTACCATGAAAATAGGGTTTGTACGATTTAATATTAGATGTGAATCTAATAAATCTTTAAAAATTTCGTTTTTACATCTTTTGTATGCTCATGCTATTTACTTATTTATTTATTTTTTTTATAATCTTTCTTGGCATTAATTTAGAATGTTTTGCTGTATAATGAAATGATGCTATTAATGTCTTGCTAGATTTTCTTTCTTTGTATCTCAACTTTGTCTTATTGATGCAGGCAGATTCTTTTTTGAAAGATAACATAAAGCAATAAACTTCATTTGTAACAACTTTTGTCAGATTAAAAGTTTCAATAATGTTGGGATTCATATTGAAATGATTCTAAAACTTTCCTCTTCTCTCTCCAGGCAGTTAAAATGACTTCTATTTGAATTTCTATTTTTAGATTTGAATGTCTTTTCTTCAAACCAATATTAATACCAAATTTATTTTGTTGCTCTTTCCTTTTTAAACAGAGGATAGTGAATTGCGACGTACTTTACAGTCATTGGCCTGTGGGAAGGCCCGGGTATTACATAAAGTACCAAAGGTAAGTTCAACTACATTTTGTCAGTAACTTGCCTGTAAGGATATATAACATGGCAACTCTTAGTGACTACAGCTTTATCTTTTGACTCTTCAGACTTTAAGTACTTTTATAGCCTCTGAAGAGAGTTTAAAAGATGAAACAGATATGGCACCGCTCTCGCTAAATTCCGTGGTGTAACTCGTCCAAGTATACTTAACCCACAGATTATGCCCCCCGCTTCTTTCCCTATGCTGTTCCCTTTCAATTTTGTGAGTAGTAGCACTATATTAAGTCTAGTTAGTTACCTCTTTGTCACCAAGGCTTGTTGGTGTGACGCTTGCATCATATTGTTACATCTGGGATCGATTCTTGGTAGTGGATGTGCACTGATGATGAGATTCAAAATAGAACGAAACTGCTATCCAGTGCTTTCTGCATTCTGTTAAGGATTCTTCAAGACTCTATGAATTGAATTACTTTCAGATATATATATATATATATATATATATATATATATATAACCAATTCACTCCAAGGCAATAATGCCACTAAGATGCAAAGGGTTACTGAAAGTGAAAAAAGACATTAGAAGGAACCAGAAACCCTATCCTAAACAGCAAATCAGGGATAAGCCTCTACTCCCATTTTAAAAACCAGGGTGTGGTGTGACTCTGACTGGTGTGAACATACCTACTTCTAGTGAAAAAAAACAACATATATTTGACAAATGGAAAACGTTTCACGAAAATAGATTTGATTCTGCATTTCACCATTCAAGGCTTCATCAGATCCAAAAACAAAAGAATGAAATGTGTATTTCTGTGTATGGTCAAATAATGAAATCTTAGTACTTTTTCCCTAGGCTGGCGTTTTTTGTGCTTGAAGAAAGAAAATAAGGGACTTTTAAAAAAGCCGTTTATATTTATTCTTAATATTTTTTATAATATAACACCTTTATGTTTTTTAAAATCACTCATTTTCTTTGTTTAATCGTGAGAAACTCCAGCTTGGGGGGGGGGAGTACTAAGATTCATTATTTATGCATACACACATTTCATTCTTTTGGTTTGGGATTTGATGAAGTCTTGAATGTTGAAACATGTAATCAAATCTCTTTTCATGAAACGTTTTCCATTTGTCAAATTTAAAAACTTAGTTGGGATTTTTATATCCTATTTTGGAAACATACACACACCCTGCGATTTACTCCTTGCCTTGGCACCTGGTGATAGGTATAAACTTTAACCAGTGTTTTTTATAAGTAAGACTTTAAAACCTCAAGACTTAGTATTTTTAGATGCTTGTCTTGCGGGTGCATTACGTTCAGGGTTCAATTTGTTGCAGTTTATTAACTGCAACTTTTGGTTAAGTGTTGAACACACCCAAGCACACACTTAAAGTACACTTTCTGGAGTCTTTGAGGCCCCTCGCCCCAGTAATTTTTGATTTGATTTGTGTTTGTACCATGCTACAGCAAAAATGGCACCTGAAAGTACAATTTTTATCAGCACCCTAAAAATACTCTAATGCAGAGAGTAAAGCAAAGTCACTGGTTTCTGCAAAATTTTGAAAGATTTTATTCTTCAAAAGGGAGATAACTCCAGGTTTTGTAACCATTATTTAGTCAGTTTTCTTAAAGTAGAAAAGAATCCTTGACTCTTTTATCTTCATTTAGTCCTAATGGCATGTCAGTTGATACTTTAATAATAAGCTTATTTGAAAATGCTAATTATCACTAATTTATAAATTCTATAAATATCAAATAAATGTCCGCTTCCTGTGTCATATCATGATTTGATTGCTGACTGTGCAGCAGCACTTAATGAGAAATCTCCAGTACAAATTACTTTGGGCATGTCAAGTCATCCATAAGACCTTCTACAAAATCGACAGAAAACTGTTTTTGCCT